GGGGGGTGTCCCTGTCCCCTCTGTCCCCCGCAGGGGTGTCCCTGTCCCCTCTGTCCCCCCTGTCCCCCCCCAGGGGTGTCCCCGCGCCCCCCCGGGGGTCCTCACCATGCGGTGGGGTCATACAGGGATCAGTCCCTCAGGGTTTGGGGGTGTCCCTGTCCCCCCGGGGGTGTTCGGGGGGGGTCCCTGTCCCCTCTGTCCCCCGCAGGGGTGTCCCTGTCCCCTCTGTCCCCCCCAGGGGTGTCCCTGTCCCCCCCAGGGGTGTCCCAGTCCTTTCTGTCCCCCTCGGGGGGTGTCCCTGTCCCCTCTGTCCCCCCCAGGGGTGTCCCTGTCCCCCCCAGGGTGTCCCCGCGCCCCCCGGGGGTCCTCACCATGCGGCGGGGTCGTACTCGGCCCAGACCCGCACGTACTCGTCCAGGTGGTGCGGGCCCAGGATGGAGGAGTCGCGCGTCAGGTACTCGAAGTTGTCCATGATGACGGCGACAAAAAGGTTCAGCATCTTTGGGGGGGGGACAGGGGACACCGGTGGGGGTCTCTCCCGGGGGTCTCACCTGCATGCCGATGATGGCGTAGATGAAGAAGAGCATGGCGATCAGCAGGCACACGTAGGGCAGGGCCTGGGGGGCACGGCGGGCCGGTCACGGGGGGCTGCCCGTGCCCCTCGGGGGACACGGGGGGCGGTTTCGGGGGGGTTTTGGGGGGCACCTTGAAGGACTGGACGAAGGTCCAGAGCAGGATGCGGATGGTGTAGCCCTGGCGCAGCAGCTTGATGAGGCGCGCGGCGCGGAACAGCCGCAGGAAGCTCAGGTTGATGAAGTTGTTCTGGTGTTGTGGAGGGAAAAAAATTTAAAAAAAGGGGTGAGGGGGGCAAAGGGGACCCCAGAAATGGGGGCAGGGGTGGCGGCGGCGCCCACCTACCCCGAATTCCGTCACCAGGATGTCGGTGATGCTGCCCAGCACCGTCACGAAGTCGAAGACGTTCCAGGCGTCGCGGAAGTAATTCTGGGAACGGGGGAGGATGTGGGGTCACCGGGCTTGGGGTACCCCGGGCTGGCCCCAGAAACCTCGGGGTGACCCCAGGGTGGAGCCCTGCACCCAGGATCTGCCGGGTGACAGATCTGGGGCGCTCAGGAGGTCGTTGGGGTCCCTGAGGTTCTGGGATCCCCTGAGGTTTTGGGGTCCCCCGAGGTTTTGAGGTCTCCTGATGTTCCTGAGATCCCCTGAGGTTTTGGGGACCCCAGCATTCCTGGGGTCTCCTGAGGTCCCTGGTGTTCCCTGAGTTTTGGGGTCTCCTGAGATTCTTGGAGTCTCCTGAAGTTTTGGGGTCTCCTGAGGTTTTGGTGTCCCCTGAGGTCTTGGGGTCCCCTGAGATTTTGGGGTCTCCTGAGGTTTTGGGGTCTCCTAAAATCTTGGGATCCCCTGAGGTTTTGGGGACCCCAACATTCCCGGGGTTCCCTGACGTCTTGTCACCCCCCGTGTCCCCAGGGTCCCCGGGGTGGTCCGGGGGTCCCCCCAACCCCGGGGTCCCCCCATACCAGGACCCCGAAGGCCATGATCTTGAGGAGACACTCGAGGGAGAAGAGGGAGGTGAAGACGTTGTTGAACATCTTGAGCACGTTCTCGTAGGTGTCGGAGGCGTCGTAGAACTGCGGGGACAGCGGGGACAGGGGGACATTGCGGGGTGCGGGGGGGTCAGGGGACAGGGACAGGGACAGGGACAGGGACAGGGACAGGGACAGGGACAGGGACAGGGACAGGGACAGGGACAGGGACAGGGACAGGG